CATACATTCACTTGCGACCGCACGATCGCAGTCTGTCGGTTGTTTCAAAGTGTGGCGCACATCGGAATCAGAAAGAGTCAACAAGGTCACGAGCTGAGCAACATGTGCTCTGGTCCTATAAAATGGTGCGTAGCAATGCAGTTTCGACAAGCAACTACAACGTGCAACGGCAGTTTTAGCTCGTATTGATTTGTCAAGCACGTTCGTGCAGTTCGGCAGCAGCACGGAGTGCAACTGTGCAACATTCGATGGCCTCGAAGTGCATTGGTGAGCAAAAGTCAACCGTCGTGGCATGGCTGCGATAAAGTTGTGCTTTGAGCAAGAATATATATAACAGAGGGATCACCTCCAAGCTTTAAATCACCCAGCTACGTCTCCAAAAACTCGATATGAAGATTAGAAGGCACCTCCAATCTAACTAGGACCAAAACACATGTTGCTCAGCTCGTGACCTTGTTGACTCTTTCTGATTCCGATGTGCGCCACACTTTGAAACAACCGACAGACTGCGATCGTGCGGTCGCAAGTGAATGTATGTTGAAATTTCGGCAGACATGAGCGTGCTGTACAGGATGCGCCAATGTAGGCTTGCTACTATTACGAGTGGTGTCGCTACAGGAACTGGCAGTGCCTTGGTTGTCAGGTGGATAACGTGGTACAGTTGCACTGCAGCTGCACGGGAAGGGCTAGCTACGAAGCTCAATTCGCTCATTTACAACTTACCACCACACCATGAAGACTTTTCCATCCTCGCCTCGCTCGCCGTCGCTGTCTCGGCCACGGTCCCCGACTGCACGGTCGAGAACCTTGCGGGTGTCGGCGCCCTCATGGCCAACGCCACGGGTCCTCTTCCGCCGTGCGCCAAGGCCATCAACGTCGACGCGGCCAAGCTCGCCGACCCGTCGTGGCAGCCCGCCGATATGACGGTTCTTGAAGCGTTCATGAAGTCGTCCGAATGCAAGACGTACTACACCGCGTTCACGGGTGCGCTCAAGAAGATCGACCCGCCGTGCAACCTCGCCAAGGGCGCTCAATTGACGACGGCGACCCTTGGCTCCATGTCTTTTGATGAGTTTACCGCTGGCATCAAGGCAGCCCTCGCCGCCAGCAAGACCACGACGGCCCCGACGACGAAGCCCAGCTCGGCCGTGACCGTGACCGGTGCGACGGCGCTCGCGCTCACGGCCGCCGCTGTTGCGATGATGTAATCAGTCAGCATGTGTGCTGTTTGGACGTTTCGTTAACGTATAATGACAATGCTTTGCTTACAAGATTGTTTCTGTTTGTAATGGAGAAGCATCGATGCGAATCAGAGAACGTGGAATTCCCGCGACTCTTTTCCCTGCATGGGTTCGTAACATGAGGCAGTTGTTGTTGGCGCGCTACAAGGGCCATCATCCGATTGCGGTCGGTTGATGGAACCAGATGTCCATCGGACTTCGTTGGTTTTTGTGGAGCTTACTTCCGAGAGACAAACAAACGGTCGACTAGAAAGTGCATCTCCAAAATAGGACAATCTCAGAGGAGACTGCTACAAAAGACTCGGAAGCAACCTCCGCAAAACGTCACCTCTACTGCGATTGTCTTTTGCCTCCGTCGTCTTTATCTCGTCGATCATTTCCACTTTGGATTCTTCTTGAACGCATCGCATGCAGCTCTTTCGCCTCCTCGCCTCGCTTCCGGTAATGCTCGTCATCGCCGCGCCGCCCCCGTGCGCCGTCTCGGAGGAAACCAAGTCCGTGTCACAGCTCTACAAGGACGCCGTCATGGAAGGCGGCAACCTCGTCGTGTACCACGGCGGCGACTTTGCCGGACAACAAGCCTTTGTCGCCGACGCCTTCCGCGCCGCGTTCCCAAAGGTCAACCTCACCATGGTCGTCGACTACAGCAAGTACCACAACGCGCGCATCGACAACCAGCTCGCGACCAACTCGCTCGTCGCGGACGTCGTCGCACTCCAGACGCTGCAGGACTACCCGCGTTGGAAGAAGGAAGGCAAACTCCTCTCGTACAAGCCCAAGGGCTTCAGCAACGTCTACAAGGGCTTCACGGACCCCGACGGCGCGTGGCTCTCGCACGGCGTCTACTCGTTCATCTACTTTTACGACGAGGCGCTTTTGCAGGCCAAGGGTCTCGCGCCGCCAGCGACCGCCAAAGACCTCGCGGACCCCAAGTACGCGGGTCTTATTGCGTCTTCGTACCCGCATGACGACGACGCGGCTCTCTTTGTGTACGACCGCTACGTCAAGGCGTACGGCTGGGACTGGGTCAAGAAGATGGCGGCGCAGCAGATCTTCTTCCAGCGCGGCTCGCACATGGCCGGCGTCACCGTCACGGCGCAGACCAAAGCGATTGGTGTCGCGGGCGGCCTGTCGTACACCAAGACGACCAAGGCCATTATGGGACCCAACGCGACGTC